AACAGCTTTTCATCATTGAATACTAAATACTAAAATATAGTCTATATGGAAAAGGCAAATAAGTACTTAATTTATGTCCTTTATTCATGTTTAGGGTAATAAAGCAGTGCGTTAGCAGGATTCAAGGATGGTGTTGAGGTCTTTTTCTTCTTGTTTTCTCTTTGAATAGCATTCTGAATCAAGCATTGTTATGTATTTGAATTTTCAGCACATTGTAGTTGCATTTTTTGATATCTCATTCTGTATCTGGACGCTAATCTTTAAGAAATCCCCTTCTGGTTCCTGTTTTCCAGATGTCTGTGTATAATGCAGATCAGTGGCTTATTGTGTGCTAGAAAGTAAGAGTGCAGCATGTCTGAATTCATGGATTGCTGCCACAGCAACATCAGAGGGAATGGAGAATGCTTAAAGTAGAAAAGAAACAAGATGTCAGACAAGAAAGCCTAAGCCTCTACCTTCAGAAATTCTAAAGGAAGAGCAAGATAAGCTCCAGGAAATGAGAATGATGGAGACAGATTTCAGTACAGGCAGCTACAGAAAACAATAGAGAAGATGCCAGGAAACCCGCACTTGGCTCTTTGTACAGGGAAAGGAGATAGCAGTTAGCAAGACTAGCAAGGGTTTAATTTTCTTCTGCATGCTGAATCTGTATACCTCCTGTATTCCACTGGGTAGTGCTGAAACTCTTTTTTTTCTTTGAATCCTGTGAATCCATGAGTTGAAGGCCCTGAGGTCTGGGGACTCCTGAGGCTGCTGACAGTCACAGTGGGAAGCTGTGCCTCATCTCCCAAATGCTGGTACCCTGAGGTCTTGTCTGGAATCCCTCAGAAGCATTGTTGAGTCACTTGAAGTGACGCTATTCCAGTGCTCATACTCAAACTGTCTCATGTCTGCCTTAGTGCAGACAAGTTGAGAGGTGGGTCCTTGAGTAGGCAGGGTCATAGACATCAGAGAAATGATCGAAAATGGATTGGTAGCCTTCTGCAGCCCATAAGATTAAGGATCGGAGTCTTGGGGAGAATTGAAGTAGGATAGGAAGACAGGGAAAATTGTGAGGACATGGAAGAAAAGGAGCCCCTCATGCCGACTGCCTACTGTGGACACCCCAGGCAGTGTGTCCTGCTCTAGGAGGGGCAGGCACCCCCCCCCCACCTGTTTCCTCCTGTTGGAAAACAAGCTGAGACCCACACCTTCAGCCATACTTGTTCTTCTGAGTGCCCCCCTAACTCTCATGCTTCAGTCTGTGTTAAAATAATTATTAGCCCCTCCATCCCCCAAAAAAGATTGACAAGAGGAAAAAAGAGAAGACACTGGCTACTGATACCAGGAACAAAAGGAACTATGTTCCAGGTGTCTTCGAAAGGGCAATAATCGGAAGGTTGCAAACAGTTTTGAAGAGCTTAGGTGAGATGGGCCATATCCTTGAAATCCACAAACTTTAAAAAACTCACCAGCAATGAAGTAAATGTCATAGGGATATAGCTGTTATAGATCATATAGCTGTTAAAGACTAGAATTTGTGGTTAAAACACTTCAAGAGCTAGCTCTCCAGGGCCGGAGTTATTTCACTACTGAATTTCTCCAAATATGTAAAGAAGAAAACTTACCAATTACAATCATTGCAAGCAAATGGAAGGGAAAGCTCGTCGGTTTATTCCATAAAGCCACCGTTCCTGTTTCCAAAGTAAGACAGAGACAGCACAAAAAAGAAAACTATAGGCTGATTTCTATGGTAAGAATGTAGCAACCCTCAACAGAACAGCAATTGAATTCAACCAGGGATGAAAAGAACAATACACCATGACCCCATGACGCTTATCTGGCTGGTGCAGTATTTGAAAGTAAATCAGTGTATAACCTACCATGTAAACAGTCTGGGAAAAAGATCACATGATCATATCAATAGATATCTCCCCTTCCGAAAACAAAAACAGCCCACCACCCTCCTTACCCCCAACCCACACATAGTCACACAAAGTAGAAAGAAACTTAGAGCTGTTGAAGGTGTCTGTAAACATCCCGCAGCCACTAGCCTGGTTAAGGGTTAGGAAGATTAAGTCACAGTGGTGCACACCTCAATCCCAGCTGCTGGCCAAGGAGCCTTTGAGCCCAGGTGGTCAAGACAAGCTTGGGCTCCGTGATGAGGCCTGTCTCCAAAAGAAAGATGGGGGAGCAAAGGGGCGGGGTGGGGATTGATGAGTGAAAGCAAAGAGAAGGGAAAAAGGCAGCAGGGCAGAGTGCTTGTTGGAGACTGCAGTCAGTACGTTAAAGCAAGGAAATGAAGCCTAAGAATCGGACGGCCCTACTTCACTTGGTTGTAGCGTGAATCTTAAAGAGTCTTATTAATAAGAACGAACCTGGGGCCAGTTATTGGGGTGAATGCTGGAAGGTCAGAGAGACAGAACAAGCCACAGCTTCCTCACCTGGCCAACTTCTCAGCTGATCTTGTTTCCTCAGACTGGAAGCCTCTGTGTTCTCATATCTGAATGGCTCTCAACCGAACTGTGCTGCTCAAAACCTAAAAGCTTAACCAGCCAAATGCTTCTAGTTTCTGGTCCTCACACCTTATATACCTTTCTGCCTTCTACCATCCCTCCCTGGGATTAAAGGCTCGCTTTCTGGGATTAAAGGCGTGAGTCACCATGCTTGGCTGTATCCTTGAACACATGGATTTCTGCCTCTGGAATGCTAGGATTAAAGGCGTGTGCTACCACTGCCTATCCTAAGTATCTAGTGGCTTTTCTGTTCTCTGACCCCAGATAAGTTTATTAGGGCACACAATATTTTGGGGAATACAATACCACCACATTTGGTGTGTAAACGTTTTGTTTGCTGTCTGTTCCTTCACCTGTGAGGAGCAAGCCTGATGAAGATGGCTTTCCACACGCTCACCTTTGTGTGTGCCATAGCTGTACCTAGAGACCTGTATTCTCTTGCATTTATTCTATGCATGTAACTTTCTGATTTTCCTTTTCCCTCCTAAAGCTCCAAGAGTCCTGGGTCTATGCATTGTCTATACTACTGTTGTAGGTGCCTGTTAAAGACAGGGCTTATGAAGTAACTGGCTGAGGTCCATATGACTGGCCAACATTAGTGCATTAGCATTTACACATAAAGTCTCAAGAGTTTGATCCCCTACAGACAGCACCAGGGCAGAATTCCCAGTATGACAATTAAAACACCCTCCCTCCCTCCCGTCTTCATGTCAAGAGCCAATTGTCTTTGTCACACAAGTGGCTGCACAAACTGTTTGATCAGTCACTCAAGGGTTGTCTGACCTGGAGAGTGAGCACTTTGGCTTTCCTGCTAAGCACCTTTTAAGGACTGAGACGAGCTTCCAGTGTGCTACTTGAGTTTATAGTTGACCCAAAGCAGCATAGTCCCGATCCACAGGCAAATTCAGAATGATCTTGACCATTGGAAAAAAATTTTCTCTAAAGAATAAAATTAAGCCAGGCAGTGGTGGCGCATGCCTTTAATCTCAGCTCTCAGGAGGCAGAGCCAGGCGGATCTCTGTGAGTTCGAGGCCAGCCTGGTCTACAGAGTGAGATCCAGGACGGGCACCAAAACTACACAAGAGAAGCCCTGTCAAAAAGAATAAAGTTAAAGGTGAATGTGAATGATCTAATGAGAAACAAGGATGTAAATAAAATAGATATGAGAAAGGGGGCTGGCTAGGTGGCAGTGGCTCCTCCCTTTCTCAGATACCGGTGTCATCTGGCCTCGGCTCTCCTCCACCGTTTCCCGCCCATGTAGTGTTCCTCTCTGAATTTCTAGCCTAGTGGGTTTTGGTTGGGGCCTTAAACTGATGGTTACACCCCAGCTCCTCCATGCCCACCAGTGTTCTCTTGCAGTCCCCAAGCCGTCGAGCTATCACTGTGCTGATCAGCTCATCCCTTTATAGTTAACACACACTTAGAATGGTGGTGAAAGATTTGTCTGAATCACAGTTGATCTCAAGCTGAATAGTGGATTTTACTGTTACTGGGGAGAAAGGGTAGATGACTGAAAGCCATTGTGTCATTTGTGATCAGATGTAGATCTTTTATTTTCCAGTAAAACAGTGAGAAAACAGTTGACTCTTTACATGCACCAGGAACCAACCTGAACACCTTACCTTTCTAGCTTATTCACTACATTCCCAAGAGGAAGTAGGTGGTGGAGGTCATCCATTGTGTAGATAAAGTTCCCAAGAGGTTAGGCCATTTGCCCAAGGTGGTATTTGTAGGTCTAAGATAAGGCTTGAAGTCTAGTCCTGCTGGCCAGGCTCTAGACAAGTTGTTCTGCATTGCCTGTCATTGGGGCTGATACCCAGTACCTACCACAGTCAGGCCAGAAGGACCTGGAGAGCCTCTAGCTAACCCTCCATCTTAAAATGGGGGGCAAAGAGCCCTCGTCGGGAAGGCAAGAGAATTTGGTTTGCATACTTTAAATTTAGAGAAGAGAAGATACATAAGTTACTGGGGTTTTAAACCCGTGAAAAGAATATTGTGGAGAAAGTGATGAGTATTTGGTATCAGCTGATTAACTAGGAGACTTACAGTGAGGCCCATAAGGAGTGCTGTGCTAGAGGAGGTGGACCTTGCCGGCTGGGCCGAATGAACAACCAGAGCTGGGACAGTCCAAATGAGTCTCCCTGGCTCTGGTCCACCTCTGTGGGGCAGCTGACTTGGGACTCCAACTCATACGCAAACTCCACTGTTCTCATCGAATAATAGTGTGACTTTATAACTGAAGACAACTGGGTACAGGAGCCACAGGCTGCCAGGTGTTGCAACAGTCTAGAGATGAGTTTCAGACCCAGGTCTCCTGACACCAGGTTGGAGTACCTGTTGTATTTTAAATGGGAGAAGGTGAAGAGGAGAGAGCCCTACAATATGGAAGAGAATTTCCTTGAGAATCTGCCCCTGCTCTGTGAGGTTAGATCACTGTGGATCTGAAAGTGGTGTGGGTGTGGGAGGAGGGAGCCTGACTCACCACACATCCTTTTCTTTGTGTAGTATGAGCCCAGAGGACCTGGTCGGCCCTTGTACCAAAGAAGAATTTCATCTAGCTCAGCCCAGCCTTGTGTGGAAGAGGCAAGTACTCCACAAGGCAGCCTGGCTCAGGGCAAAGAACTGCAGGACCGCAATCGCCCTCCTGCTTTCAGCTTCCCAGCCCCTGAGTCCTGGGCCAACACCACCTCGTCTGCCCCCTACCAGAACATTCCGTGCAATGGACCCAGCAGGACAGCACAGCCCAGAGAGTTGATAGGTAAGATGAATGGGTGAGTTTTCAGAAAGCTGTGATTTCGACTCCTCAGTGCCTGAATATTTTGGGGGCTGTTTCCTGTTAGTCCTGCCCACATTGCATTGCTCGGAACCCCCTGTGGAATTGCAAGGGTGCATAATACAGTGTTATTTAAATTTTAAAAGATTGGAAGCAAAAGCTATGTGTTGATGGACAGTAACACTGCTTAGGAAGACTGGGACCAAGTGTTAAAAGTCCTTGAAAGTCCGGTGGTGGACATGTAATGTTTATACCCGTTTTCCCCTCACTATTTGTGGGAGACCTGCTCCCACTTTTACCCCTAGGGTACTCTTGAGTAGGGAGAAGTGAGAAATATTTAGATAGAATTATATAGAGGACAGAGACAGAAACACAGGGTACCCTCGGGAGGGCCTGTGTCAAAACCTACCAGCCCTTTCTATCTCTTCTAAAGGGCTGTTTATAGAAATGCCAAGGGGTGAAGCAAAAGACCTCCCCCTAGCACAGCCAAGTACAGACCCTTCCAAACACCGGGTCACCATGCACGTGGTCAGTTCATCATGCAGCCCTACTGGGTAAAGCAAGCTCACATCTCACTAGGAAACCTTTGTGGGCTCCCACAATTATTACATGTTCACTTAGAATAAAAGAGCTAGATATGTTGGTGTGCACCTGTACTCCCAGCACTGAGCAGGCCGAGGAGGAAGATCAGTAGTTCAAAGCCAGCCTGAGCTACATACTGAGATCTTATTTGAAAAAACTAAAATATTTCAGTGTAAATGTGTGTCACAAGAAACGATAGTGGCTGTAACCGGTAGACCCTGGTGCCACTGGAGCAGATTTAGAGTAGAGCATGCACAGCACATTGCTTCTGATACAAGCATGTTCCGGTTCACGGTAACTCAACTGCCCGAGCAGATTAGTGAGTATTTATCTGTCAGCACATCTCCTGGCCCCTGTTGACATTGGTTTCTGTGTGTTGGGTGCTCCTGTGGGCATGGGTGCTTTTTCTGGGTGATTCTTCAGGAGACGGGTTCAAAGTGTGGTTTCACATCCTGTGGCCGAAGTTGCATGTGCTTGGGCTAAACAGCCCCTGCGTTCTCGGGGAAGGAGCAGGCCGTGAGCAGGTTGTGCTCCTGCTCCTCTGGTTAAACCCTGTCGCTGTTCTCTGTTCCTAGCACCACCCAAGACTGTCAAACCCGCTGAGGATCAGCTGAAGCCTGACGGCACGGAGGTGTCCAGTTCCTTCAACTACACGGTGCTGCAGCACCTTGGCCAGTTCCCTCCCCTCATGCCCAACAAGCAGATCGCAGAGTCGGCCAACAGCAGCAGCCAGCAGAGCCCGGCAGGGAGCAAGCCCGCCATGTCCTATGCCAGTGCGCTGCGTGCCCCGCCCAAGCCCAGACCGCCACCCGAGCAGGCCAAGAAGGGCAGCGACCCGCTGTCCCTGTTCCAGGAGCTCAGCCTGGGTAGCAGCCCGGGCAGCAACGGCTTCTACTCCTACTTCAAGTGACCGCGCGCACTCTCAGAACGTTGAGGTCGAGTTTGTCGTAGGGTTGAGGTGGCAGGCTCCTCTGTGCACAGTCTCTGCGTGATGTTGACCGCGCGCTCACTCGGCCCCTTGCTGCTAGACCTGCGCCTAAGTTTAAAAGTATATTCCATTACTTTGCATTTTTGATGTGAGTCAGAACTTTGACAGCTTTTATGTAGAATAAAAATATTTTTAAATTCGTGTATTGTTACATATGTTTGCATCAAGCTAGCAGCTAAGAGGTTAATTGTGCAACTATAAAAAAGAAAAAAAAATTTGTCTAAAATGTATTTAAAAAGAAAAAATGTTAAGTAGCATTTACATTTATTCAATAATATTACCACATGCTGGGTTTCTGTACCAGAAATGGCCAGTTGTTGTACAAATGTATGTTATTTTTGCTTAAATTCATTTAAAAATTTTTTTAAATAAAGGGGCAGCATCTTCTAAATACTTTATCAGCTTTTTTTTTTTTTTTTTTGGTGACAGGATGCTGTATTCTAAAACTTTCAGAGTTTTAGACTATCTGTGACATGCTGTTCTCTCCATCAGCGTAGGGTAAAGGTCAAGGCCTTCTTTGCCCGTGTATTCTGTATGCCATTGGGTTTTGAAATGTGAAAAAAAAAGAAAAAGAAAAAAGAAAAAAAAAAGAAAACAAAAACAACAATAACAAAAAAAGTCAGCAACCCAAAACCCAGTGGCATATTTAGTTTTTGTTGTTTGGGTTTTTTGGAGAAGCAACGCTTACAGCTTGTTTTTAATGTTAATTTCATAGTATGGTTTTGTTGTTGTTGTTGTTTTTGGTTTTTTTGTTTTTGTTTTTTAAACAAATCATGAAGCTGAAAAATTTTTAGGATTGTTGGTGCTTAGTAGACTTGATAACTATTTTAAAACTGCGTGAATTTAGTGAAAAAAAAATCTTCTTTCTCATTCTGCATGTGTAAGTGTTTGTAGCCTGGCCCCTCCTCCAGGGCAGAAAGAACTGTGCCGACTAAAGGTTTGGGTTTCTTTTCCTCCAGTGAAAATTTTGGTACCTTATTTGATGTTTACATTAAGATATGACATTACACATGGCAATTCTAAGATTTTTCTAGTTGTTCTGTGTGAGGAAGATCATAAAAGAACAGTGTTTGTCCAAAAATCGATCAAATCTAGGGCATGTTTCGTATCTTTTGATTCTTCAGGAATTCCCCCTTGAACTCACTGAACATAAAAAATTTAAACAACTGTCTGCAGTAGTCTGCAGCCCGACAGTTGTGAATGAATGTGGAAAGGGAGGAAGAGGCTGTCCTTTCCATGTGTTCTTTGACACATTTGAAGTAATGAATGTTCTTATCGGTTCCTGATCTAGTAGTTCTGATCTTGTATTTCTGAGATGTCTTGAGACTACAATATATCTTTTTTTTTTCTTTTTAAATTAAGATGAGGCCAGGGGATATTTCAAAAGAGCCAACCTTCCTGATGATCATTCGAGCACAATTTTCTGGAAGACTCTTTTGAGAGAACTTTTTTAACTGGGTTGAAAGTGGCAAGGGGAAGGTAGAATTACTACATCTGTATGACTAGGGGTTAGTCTGTGGCGGCCATCTATGGCCTCCTGGAACCCCTAGACAACGTGGGATAAAAGGCTGCATTGGTTAAGGGCTAGCCAACTCTAGGACCAATGATGCAGCCTCTCTAATTCAGTTCCACCTTTGTGCTCAGGGCTGAGCCATTGGTACCTGGCTTCCTGTCTCAGGCTGACCACCTCTTTTGAGGTGGCAGATGTGGACCCACAAACTGGAGATGCGTTAATGGATAGTACAAATCACAGCAGGGGAGTGGATCTAGTGAGCCAGGGTACCACACTCTCTGCATGATGTGACATCATCACATTGCTGGGCATGTTTTAGGCTGAACAAGACAACTTTTGCCACAGGCCTCTGTGTTTTCTAACTGTGTGCCCAAACAAGAAGTAGGACTCCCCCATGATGAGGCTGTACGTCCCATCGGTGATAGCCCCCACTCCCACACTTGCCCACCCCCACACATGCAGACACACGGGACAGCAGCACATGCTGGGCAAGTGTTCAGAGCCATTTTGCTAATTCAGACAGAACTATACTGTTTTGGTTCCCCTCTCATGAGCAGATTATTGCCTAGTTTTCTGTTTCTCATACTTGAACCTTTAAAAAATGTCAGTTTGTAAATTATTTATGTTTAGTTAAGGTCACATGTGCTGTGCCCTGTCATCTTCTGTAAAGACACTGATGGTAGGACACCTTGGGCGAGGAGCCCATCGGAGTGCAGTGACATTCTCAAAGTGGTTATTTCTAAGAAATGACACTAGCTACTTACTTGTGACTGCTGCGTTGTGAATGTCTGAGTATTCCCATCTCTGTCTTGATTCTGCAGCTAGTAGAGGATTTGTCTCTGTGTTTTCCTGTTCTGTATACAGGCTTATTTTAACCCTACTCCCCGATTTCCAGTGTCTGTCTTCCCATCCGGGCTCAAAGGAGCCTGTTACTCATGACCAGCAGCATCTAGTAACAGTCTTCGGCAGATCCCACCAAAAGAACCATTGTGAATTCTCCCTGCTGGCTCTTCGCTGTTACTTGGCTAGTGTTAGCAGGGTTAGTCAGTGTCATGAAAATAGCTTATTTCATTTCTCAGATTGAACTTTAGAGCTCAGACAGAACATGCACACATATGTGTGTGTGTGTATATATATGTGTGTGTGTTTGTTTACATACATAAGCACACCCTCTTTTTTTTTTTTTTTTAAAGAAAACTTGATAGCTCTGTGAACTTGATAGCTCTGTGAACTTGATAGCTCTGTGATGCCCTTTTCTTCTGGATGGATTTCTCCTGAGGTCATTTTATGATTTCTTTGTTCTTTTGATCAGTGGAGTTTCCCTGTCCCTGCCAGTACTGATTTTAGTCATTTCACTACAACTTGAAGTATTTCTTTCCCTCCCTCTCTCCCTTCCTTCCTGCATCTTTTTCTTTCTTTCACTCTTTTACATGATCATTCATAGTGTTCATGCTAAGTTTGATCCCCCTTCCCCTCTTGATTGAAAAATAAATTCCTGTTGAGAGTTGATCAACCTCATGCACTGTATCCTGGATTTTTTTCTGGTGTGTTTTTCAAAGAAGTCCGTTCTAGCTCTGTCATTGCTATAATATCTTGTCCTTGCTCAATCAGTAGTTAATTATTGACCATTCAAACTAACGACCTCGGCCTTCCCATCTTGACACAGACATGCTTTCTGTGTGGGCGGGCCATGTTGTATGAGGAAAACATCAAATTGTCTGGTGTGGGTTCTTTTGCTTTTGTTTTATTCTAATCAAGATTCTAGGATAAGTTCAGGTTTGGTCTGAGCATCAACTGATCTTTTCTGCTCAGAGAACAAAATAAGCAGAAATCTTGTGGAATAAGCATTACCCAATTAAACATAAAGCCTGTTTATGTAAGAGGTTTCCTTGTGTCTGAAGGCACTGAAGTTCTGAAGAAGCTGTGTCTTTCTAACCTTGAGCTCGTGTGTTGTGTTATGTTGCATAGTGTAGTTGATAGTTCTGTTTGATATGTTTCATTTGGAGAGCAAACTGAAAACATAAAAGAACATATCTCTAGCCACTGTGACTAAGAGTCAGGATATGAAAACAATTTTAGGTTAAATCTGAGTATTTCAACTATGGTCGTGGAAAAAGTTAGATTTCCTAAAATAGTTGATTTTTTAGGAGAAAAAATCATTGTGTGAAAGAATCATTGCATAGTGGAGAGTTTTGTTAATAGAAAAATTCTATAAAAACATAAGATTAAAACTTCCCATATAGTAAAATATATACATTGCTGCTTTAAAATATTTAGGCTGTTCATCCCTCCCCACCCACCTGTCGACTTCCTCACGGCTAAGCTTGTCTTTTCTTATCAAATAGACAATGTTTGCCTTTCCCTCAACATATGAAGACCATCACCCTGTGTATCTTTTTCTTCTGGGTACAAATGTCCTGGGAGATCACTTGTCCTTTGATCGATATTCATACTGCCTAGAAATGAGAAGAAGGGTGAGTGATGCTTCAGCTAGGACTTCTTGTTCAGAATAGCCCTCCGGATGTCCCCCTCCGGATGTCCCCCTCCGGATGTCCCCCTCTGGATGTCCCCCACGGTATCATGTACCCAGACGGAGTACGCATCATGTCGGCTTCACATTTCCCTCTGAGACTTGACAGCAAGACTGCTAAGTTCACACTCGGCCAGTTTCATCCCTGTTTAATTAGCAACCCCAAGACCACTGAAAGGGGGAGATTTTTGCTAGCATTTGACATTCTAATAAGATATCAGAAAGTGGTATTATGTCATCAACTCGAAGCTAGAATGTCAGGTTAGACAGGTTTTGTTTTTGTTTTTTAAGTTTTAGTGTAACATTCAGACATTTGAACCTACTGGAATTACCTACTTTAGAGTGATCTTTAAAAAAACCTTCCCTGTTTAAAAAATGTTTTGTAAGGGAGGTACCTAATAGAATCGAGACTTTGACTTGTAAGCCTTGGGGAAATCCCAGCCCGTTTATACAGGGGTACCCTGAATCTTTCCGAAATAGGTTTCCAGAGAAAGCCCACGTGTCTTGTAGTTTCAGTCATCAGAGTGGTAGATCAGACTTTACTTGCAATTTGTTCAACAGAGAGATTTTATTTTGATACAAATATTAAACATAAAGCATAGTAAGTTTTATATCATTCTATGAGTTCATTAAACAATATTATGAGATTTTCAGTATGTTTTTGGGGTCTTTTTGGCTATTTCTACCTCTGTACTTTATTTAGCATACTAGCATGTGGCTGCCTGCCTTAGAATGATGTATGGGAGGGGGAATCAATATTACCTTTTAAGAAATTTTTGATTTTTATGGGATAATTGTTTTACTATTTTAATGTTTGAAAGTGAAGGGGGAATGGGTGGCAGATTACATACAGTGATAGCTATTTACAAATCTATCGTATATTAAGATTTTAGAATTGTGAGCAAGATCGAGCAAAAAAGAAAAAAAGTGATTGTGAAGCTGAAGGCAGCCTCAGCTCTCCCTGGACGGGCTGCTGAAGTGCAGGTTGCTGTACCCACCCGCAGGGTGGCCACACAGCTGTCCAGGGGGTGCACTTTGAAGACCACTGGTCTAGAGAAAGTCAGGGGGTCCTCATCTCTTTACTCTTGGGTCATTTTAGTCATCCTGACACCACAAGTGGCCCATCCATGGAAAAAGCTCTCTCTACCTTTGGGGTCTCTGCTGTGTCTCCTTATTAGGATGCAGGGGTGCTTTCATTTCTAGGGTGAGTTTGTTGTTAGGGACGCAGCTGCCTGGCTGTCGTCTGGAAGCTGTGCATTTGTGGGATGTGCTTAGAGTCAACCTTGGTCCCTACACTTGGGAGGGAGACAGAATTGTGGAAAGAAGCCATCAGATGCCCCAAGAGTGCATTTGCACTTATTGAGGCTCTTAGTGCAGGAGTCCCTGTCCTAGGGTAGCAGTGACATGGAGCCTCAGAAACTTTGGGTAGTCCCCAGTTAATGGAGTCGATAGCTTTTCATCTTTTTTTCTTCTTTGTCTTCTTTGGTATGTGTGTTGGGGGCGAGGGCAAAGAATTTACTTTCATATTATATGTTTCTCAGGTTAACAAAGTTATTTTGAGTTCTCTGCCATGCCAGCAGGTGTTAGGGAGAGCATGGGTGTGTATGTGGCAGAAAAGAAGCAATCGTTTCTGATTCCCTTGCTACCTTGAAGAACTTTGTATGTTTGTAGAAGAATTGAGGGGAACACACCCCCTCCACAGCATGAGTGACGCCTAAGTCATAGCAGACATGGATGAGCAAGTTATTTTTGAGAAAGAAACTTCCTACAGCATAATAAACCTGACAGGTCTTTGGATGTTTTCACATTTGTGTATTGTGTTCCATGTTTAGCCTGGGCTACAGCTCTATGGGTACTGGGCTCTGCTTCTTGTGTTTAGTTTGGCTTTGAATTTACTGTTACTAGCAAGAAAATGAATCTATGTTTAAGGTAATAGAATGTAGAACAACATAGGCGTAGAAGTATAATACACAGTGGCCATCCTAGAGCGCACAGTTTTCGAATTTTTACCCCCAGTACTTACTGCCTGAAAGGCCCGGGAAGCTTTGGCTGCAGGTTGCGGGTGTGTGTGTTCAGCACTGCTTCCTCAACGCACCCCCAGCTCCTAAGGGACTTTGGTTTATTTGCAATTTGTCTTGCATGATAACCCTTTGTATCTTTAGGGAGGTCAGAGGACTCTTTCATCCAGGTTAAAGTCCCAAAGTGTCAAATATACTTGAGACTGTTTCTCACCAACACCCCTTCCCACGCACACACGGAGGAACGGTCCTCGATTTTTATGTATCAGGACCTCACCTGCTCCTATAAATCTGTATATGACATTATGTACATCAAGTACTGTATCTGGTTTCTGTGCCCGCCATCTGACCTGATTGTTTGAAACCCATAAAGGTACTGGTTATATGTGATAGTTGCATCCCAGGGGAATAGAGTGGTTCAAATACTTTCTCTAAATTATAAAGCTAATGGGGTTTGCATTTTAGTAGAGTCCTAATATTAGTGACACAGGATCTTTCTTTTTACTGTTTAAAAAAAAAAAAACAATTCTCTAAATGTGGTCAGTGATGGATAGGATCAGTCACGTGGTAGATTCATTCTGGGTCTTCTATTGGAAAAGCCTTCATAAGGGAGGCCATATATAAAACCACCCTGGTCCATTTGTGTTACAAGTACCACTTATGCAGCATCTAATTAAGCATAATCTACGGCAAAAGTAATAGCAATGACTATGTTCCTTTGCAGTATATCATACCTCATCTGGGAGGCCCTAATACCTGAAGAGTTTATTCTTAAAAGTAAAGATGATTTTGTACATTAAGATAACCCCCAAAGCTGTCCTCCAAGGCTTTTCTTTTCTCCTTTCTTCCTTTCCTCACTTGGGTTTTGGAGTCCCTTAGCTTATGCTACTTCCTTAAGACATGTTTTGAGCCCGGGAGTCTATGGTGTGATCATTGTCAGTGAAGTTCTTTTGTTTTAAAAGATTCATGGTAACACAAAATGTATTTTACTGCTACAACTAAAATGTATTTATAATAAAATGCCTTTTTAACAATTCAGAGTGTTTATTTTGTGTGGACTTTCTTTCTTCTCCTCCCAAGCCTACAAGTGTTGGAGAGGTTAGCGTACACAGAAGCGGTAAAGCTCATGGAAGGAGGGCCCAGTGTCAAGAAGTAAGGCTGTGACTTTGCAGAGAGCTGGGACACAAATCACCAACTTCAGCAGTAGCAAAAGCCGTTAAGGCGTAAATAATGTCACCTGGAATGTTAAAGGCAACATAGCAAGAAAACGAGCCTTCTTCAGGGTGCCATTCTCTGGATCAGAACTTATTTATTTTTAGCAAATGTTCTGAATTACTCTTTTTTTATTTTATTTTTCTTTATTAAATTTTCTACTCACTCCTCATGCTATCCACAGACCCCCCTCCTCCCTCCTCCCACCCCCAGCCCTCTCACCCAAGCTACCTTTCATCCCCACATCCCCCCAAATCGAGGTCTCCCATGGGGATTCAGCAGAGCCCAGCTCACTGAGCCTAGTCAGGTCCAAGCTCCTTCCCACTGCACCAAGGCTATGCAAGGTGTCACACCACAGGCACTGGATTCCTAGAAGCCTGCCCATGCACCAGGGACAGATCCCGATCCCCCTGCCTGGGTGCCCCCAAACAGTTCAAGCCAAACAACCATCTTCCGTGTCCAGAGGGCCTAGTCCAGTCCCATGGGGACTCCACAGCCACCAGTCCACAGTTCTCTGAATTACTCTTAACAGGTCTTGTAGTCATTAATACCAGGCTTGTGTGGCTCAGAATTCGAGAGCTCATTAATCTAGTATACACTGATATATTAAAGTAGGGCTAGTACTACACCTCACAATTACACAGAGGATTGCCCCGAACCCATCTTGGAGAAATGTTGGCCTCTGTGATGATGCAGCTTCGAGAAGCATTAGAACTTGCAGACTGCTTCCTGTGTCATATTTTCTATTTAACGCCCCATTAATGTGGTGCTGCTAGTCCAGCTTGACTACACCATGCTTCGGGGCTGCTATTGTGAATGAGGTGGCTGGCCTTTTCCAGGGACAACAGCTTATAATCCATTGCACTGTATCTATTTGGTTAACAAAAATTTTTAGATTATTTTTGGGGTGCGAGTGTTTTGACTGCATGTATGTCTGTACTATGTGTGTGCCTGGTGTCTGTGGAAGTCAGAGTCGGATCCCCTGGAACTGGTGTTATGGATGGTTGTGAATTACCATGTGGGTGCTGGAATCTAAACCCATTCTCTGCAAGAGCAGCCAACGCTCCAACCTCTGGCTCCTCCATTGCAGATAGACATTTTGCTTTGTGTTGCCTAGACAGGGTGGACATCCATCTCTGAATTTTAAAAAGAAAAATGTTTTTTTTTCCCATACAAGTGTGGTGGATTCGGAGGCTCCTCGTGTTATGCTCTCTGCAGAAGCAATCCAAGGACGCTGATTGATGAAGAAGCAAGATGACTCTTAGGGGGTTAATTTTAATAGACATTGTAACCTTCTTTCCTCAGAACAGCAAGGTGGGAAATCCCACAGAACCCAGATGGAAGGCTAGCTGGTGTGTGTGTGTGTGTGTGTGTGTGTGTGTGTGTGTGTGTGTGTGTGTGTGTGTGTGTGTGTGTGCTGTTGCTGCTCTTGGTAAATCTAGAACACTCAAGCAGTTCTTAGCCTGTTACTGATCCTGCTGCTTGAATTATGTGGTTATGTCTCAACCAATCAACTCCCTATCAGAAGTCCTTAGGATTTGAAGAACTAGTCATTGCATGGCCTTACCTCCTGTTTACCCACCAACAGTAGCTGTTTACCTTTCTGGTCTAAGCCATTCTCTGAACAATTACAGTGGTTCTCCAATACAGCATTTTTTAAATTTTATTTTTTTTAAATTTTATTTTCTTTTTTGAGACAAGGTTTCACTATATAGTGCTGGCTTGGGACTCACAGAGATCCACCTTCCTCTGCCTCCAGAGTGCTGGGATTAAAAGTGTGTGCCACCACATCTGACGTCATGAATGTCCTATATTTTTTAACTGGATGTTTGAAGACTCTAAATTCTTTTGTTTTAAAAGCTCTCTTTCCATGTATGAGTGACGGAGAGCACGTATGTGTGTGTGTGTGTGTGTGTGTGTAGATCAGAGGACCACCTTGCTGTCTGTCCTCACCATCTTCTCTTGGAGTTGGTCTCTCATTCACCACTTCCCATGCCAGGCTAACTTTCAGGGGTCCTGTCTCCACCTCACATCTCACCACAGAAGCATTGGGATTACAGATGCATGCGAGGGCGTCCAGCTTTAAATGGGTTCTGGATTCCGAACCCAGGTTCTCACTCTTCATGACAAGTATTTTACCCACCGATCTATCTCCCCAGCCTCAAGCTCCCCCGCCCCCCGGTAATGGGGGGGTCTGACCCAGGGACTTGTGAATACTATGAGCGCACTCTACCAACTCACTCCCCATGACCAGGTACCAAATCTTGATCTGGAGTAAGAAACACCCCCAGGCTACACAGACCATTCACTGAAGGACATTAGCTCACTGGAGCATGTGGCACTAGCAGGCCATGCATTTCTCCCCGATTCCCGCTACCTTGCTAAAAACCATTCGATTACACTCCTAAAGCTAGACACCAAGGTCTAGTCCCTTATTTGGCCACTTCTTCCTCCTGAGGCTAACCACCAAGGTCCAGCTACTAAAGTGTTGGTATTCAGCAATCAAAAGCCCCCTTTGGCTCACCTAATTAACATGTCTGTAGCTTAAGTTTTCCTGCCTGGCCCACAGTCAGGACAAATCTCTATCACCCTCCAGTCCCACAGCCGTCAGACCCAACCAAGTAAACACAGAGACTTATATTGGTTACAAACTGTATGGCCGTGGCAGGCTTCTTGCTAACTGTTCTTACAGCTTAAATTAATCCATTTCCATTAATCTATACCTTGCCACATGGCTCGTGGCTTACCAGCATCTTCACATGCTGTTTCTCATCATGACGGCTGGCAGTGTCTCTCTGACTCAGCCTTCCACTTCCCAGCTTTATTCTCCTCCTTGTCCCGCCTACACTTCCTGCCTAGCCAATGGCCAATCAGTGTTTTATTTATTGACCAATCAGCAACACATTTACCATACAGAACATCCCACAGCAATCCTGTTTCCTCAGACTGGATGCTTCTGTGTTCTCATCCGAATGGGTCTCAGCTGAACTGCTTCTTTCTCGAAAGCCTGAATGCTTAACCAGCCAAAAGCTTAACCAGCCAAATGCTTCTAGTTTCTGGTCCTCATGCCTTATATACCTTTCTGCTTTCTACCATCCCTCCCTGGGATTAAAGGCTCGCTTTCTGGGATTAAAGGCGTGAGTCACCATGCTTGGCTGTATCCTTGAACACATGGATTTCTGCCTCTGGAATGCTAGGATTAAAGGCGTGTGCGACCACTGCCTATCCTAAGTATCTAGTGGCTTTTCTGTTCTCTGACCCCAGATAAGTTTATTAGGGTACACAATATTTTGGGGAACACAATACCACCACAAAACCCTGTCTCGAAAAACCAAAACCAAAAACAAAAAAACCCCCACCTCATCCTAACACAGGGTTTCCCCCTGTATCTTTATAAACCGCCTTTTTCCTATGGGCCATGTCTGTCTCCTCTATCCAGAGGCAGTCCCTTGTCCTTCTGGGACAAATGCCCCTCCTACCTCTCCCTGCTCCCTTCCCCTTCTCCCTCGTCCTCCGTCTCCTGTCTTTGTCTCTTGTCCCTGCCCTCTGTCCCTCTGGGGCAAATACATCTCTTTTGTGCTGAGAACTTGGTCTGAGGACTTTGTCTTGGGGTCCTGAGCGATACTTTTCCTTGTACTCACCCTGTGCACCCCGGGAAGCTCCTGGCTTGCTTAGTTCCCTACTTGGCTCCTGCACTGTGCCCTTTCAGCCCTTGTAACCCTGGCCCCCCCAGGCTGCTCTGGGATGCTCTACTTACTAATCAAGACTAGGTAAATTCCAGTGCTCCAGGTCCCCCCACCCCGCTTGACCAATGCTCCCCTTCTCAGTGCTTGCGGTGAGATCTTGTCAGTCTTTGTAGTAAAGTTAAGAGTGTGTGAGCTCTGGATGGTAGAGACCGTGTCCTTCAGGAGTGTTTGCTGAGTGGGATGCTAAGGTTTGGTGGGAAGAACAGTTAAGAAATTCCACCACCACCACCACCACACACTTGACTGGCCACACTGTGGGCAGATGACAGCCCCTCCGCAAGAGGGATGACCAGGGCTGAAGAAGGAATAGAAAGCTGGGATGTCCCCACTCACTCTGTGCAGCTTCAAGTGGCGACAGTAGAAGTTCCCCAAGTTACTTTCTGTCCTACTGGGTGTCACAGAACATTTTCTTTCACAGTTTCACTGAGGCTATGCCCGTTTTGACGGATGCCCCCTCCTTTAGCATAGCCTGGTATATGGGCACATGGTGCACACCTATGGTGATCATGCAGAGTCCTGAAATGTGATAAAATTCCCCATTTGTCTAAAGCTCTGGCTGATGTGGAATCCACAGAGGGTGGTAATGAACTTGGCTAGAACGTGCAGCTTGTGAAGCCTACAGTCTAACCTCCCCCTCGGCTCATTAAACCTGAGGCTTTGCCAATCGATTTAAACATTTTCAGGAGACTGTTGCTAATCCCCCAGTACAAAGTGGCACTGGCTAATTGTGGGTAGTTGATCTAGAGGAGATAGTAATGGACTCTGAGGGTGGATGTGGCTGGCTGAGTGATCACAGGGAACCAGAGGAAAAGGCAACTTGTGTGGTATTTGCTCCCTAATTAAAAAGAAGCGCAGATGGCAGGCTGTCTGGATGTGGGTGGGTGCCTAAGAATATGGGTCATAGACCTTGCAGAGGAGATTCTAGGAATATTCCAATTAGTACTGAAAGCTTGCTTTCTCTCCCTCAGCAATGGTTTTCTATGTAGTCCAGGCTAGCCCTCAAACACATGTACTCCTTCTGACTCAGTCTCCCAGATTATGAGCATGTGCCACAATGCCCAGCAAGTATTGTTTTCTATACATGGAGTCGGGGGAACTAAAAGAGAAATGAAGTCACAGGAATAGGGGTCTTCTCTTTGTTCCTGATGTTCGTAAGGCTAACCAGAAGTGATCGCTCTAGGCCAAGGTCTTTTTAAAGAGATGATCTTGTAGAGTTAGTCTCCTTAGTTCTGCGACCAAGTTTAAAGCAAGTTCCATCACCTGGGACAAAGCAACAGATGACTAGAAAGTCAGGAAATAGACTTTAGCTTGTGGGAGCACCTGTATTTCTCAAGGTGTTAGGTCTGGACGAGTATGTCCCATAGACCCGTGGGCTAAAGGCACAGTCTCAAGCCTATGGTACAACTGGACATGGTGGACCCTTTAAGAGATGGGACCTAGTTTGAGGTCTTTAGGTCACTGGGAGCATATCATTGTAGGAAATTATGGGTAATTCCTAAGAAGGTGAGTGAATCTGACTTGATGTGTTGTTCCACCATAAATATAAAGTAAAGGGGATGATCAGTCATGTAAAGCCTCCAAAACTGTGGGCCAAAACACTTTCATCTTTGTAAGTTGATTTATCCAAGATATTTGTTGCGGTAACGGAAAGCTGACCAATTTGAGGTGAACCTACAGGCAGTCTAGTACAATGATTCCTGTGGTTGGCTCACTAACAGGGTAGAGGATCAACTGTTTTGAAAAAAGAAAAAAAAAAGATTGTGATCTAGTATAATTAAAGGTGGTTTTGTACCTCTGTCAAAGCTCTTAGGAAATCTGTCTGTACTGAATGCTTCTGCCGGTGTGCTCTAGCTTGGAAAATAATTCCATCTTACATCTCTGGAGCCCTGAGTTCCTCTGTGGAGAACGAAGCTGGCTTGGTGTTATTGATCTGACTCAAGCGTGTGTGTATGGAATCCACTGTGGTGACAGAGACAGCAGGGGCTGGATACCTGGAGTGGGAAGGAGTCCTTTCAAACTCTTGTCTTGCTTCAAAGGACTCTCTGTGCTCCGTCTCTCTTCCTCATGGCGTTCTTGCAGGAACTGTGCCGTACCCAGTCTCCCTTGTGGACAGCACGTTCTAATTCATGGACTAGGCTCACAGCCCGTCCTGAGGCTTTGCAAACTAGACACCGCAGGATTTGGGGAAACGATCAGTGTAAGGAAGGTCCTAGCTACTACAATGATTCTGAGGAAATGTGGGCCTTGTCTTCAAAGAGCTGTAAAATCAGGAAGGCCGAACTGTGCCAAGATGGGTTAAATATGAGGAATATGAGCAGAGCACCAAGAACAAAAGGAGAGAGGCATGAATGTCATGTAAGGGATCGGAGAAGATGCCACCTCACGTCGTCTGATCCGGCTCCTGCAGAGTAAGTAGGACTTCTGTAGGCTCCACAGGTACCATCCCCATGACCCTCTGAGTGTCCACAGGATGCTCTCAAACCTCAGAGACCGTCCATAAAGCCACTCAGCACTGAAAAACAAGGAAGTAACCTCTCTCTCACTGTGCCCTCACTCACACAGTACCCAACCATAGCGTGCCTCCCATTTCCTCCATGTCTGACTGGCAAATTCCCCTCTTCTCAGATTCTTCCCCCTAGTTTCTCTCTCTTCCCGGAAGTCCTGCCTATCCTCTCCTACCTAGCTACTGGCCATTCAGCTCTCTATTAAATCAATCGCAAGGTGCCTTAGCAGAGTCACATCTTCACAGTGTGCAAAAAGATTTTCCCACAACACTTCCAGTTTGCTCTCTCTGTGTTTGTGGTTGAAAAATCATTTAGCTTCCTGCTCTGGCTATCATGCTTGACTGCCGCCGCGCCTCCCTTGCCACTATGGACTCATTCTCTGGAACCACAAGCCAAAACAACTCTTTCTTCTATAAATCACTTGTGGTCATGGTGCTTTGTCACAGAAGCAAAAAGTAACTCATACACTCTGTGTCAAGGAAATAAGGATGGAAGTGGTCCTCCTGCCTCAATGTCTCCTGAGTGCTAGGATTACTGGTATGTGCTCCTGTGTCCAATATGAAAGTAAATATTATTTACATTACAGGGCAAAAACCTTTCTTATGAGGCTGCTCAATGCTGTTGTGAGGAAAGCAGCGACACTGAACACCCATGAAAACAGGTGTGGCTGTGTGCCAATAAAACTTTATTTATAGACCCTGAGGTTTAAATTTTGTGGAATCTCCATGTCATGAGATATTCTTCATATTCATGACAAGTTCTTTTGATGTCTTTCAAGCTGTAAAAAGCACCCCTGTGTTGCAGGCTATACACTAAGTGTGGGCCAGGTTGTTCCCACAGGTGGGGGCGTTCCCCTTTGCCAACTGTGCTAGCTCCACGTGGGACTCCAGTGTTCACTGCAAGGACCACAGAGAGTCCTCCCTGTCTGCCGGTCAAGTCTGACTTCTGTTTCTAGGTTCGGTACAGTAGGGGTCTGAGGAGGCAGGAGTGATTAAATGATGGTGCTAAGTATCTGTGAGGCCCTGCTTCTTGGGTTGTTTTGTTGTTGTTGTTTGTTTGTTTTGTTTTGGCTTGGTTTTTGGTTTGTTTGGTTTTTTTTTTTTTTTTTGTGTGTGTGTGTGTGTATGTGTGTGTTTTGTTTTTCCCAACAAGGATCTGGCTGATGCTAGACTGAGACCATGGGGCTTCAGTGCTGAGAGGGGCTGGATGATTCTAGAAATAACCCCTCCTATTTTTAACACCCTTGCCCAAGTCACAAGGTTTCTAGTTTCATTCCAAACAATTCCAGAGCTCAGACATTCAAGTTGGAATTCAGAACCTCCAAGCTATCCCCACCTCACCTCTAAAAGTCCCCAGTGCCCCAGGCAGTGGTCCCCTACTTTCCTCATGCTGTGACCCTTTAATACAGTTCCTCATGTTGTGGTGACCACCCTCAACCATAACATTATTTTCGTTGCTACTTCATAACTGTAATTTTGCTACTGTTATGAATCATAATGTAAATGTCTGATATGCAGGATATTGGATATGTGACCCCTGAAGGGGTCCTGACCACACAGTGAGAACCGCTGCATCTGAGGGACACTCCTTCCTGTTCTCCAGGGTTTAGGGTACTAGGCCTATAGCCAGGAATCTCGCAATTGCTATGGAAGGCACAGGGGAAAAGGGAAGTGTCTGAGATCTTTTATTTCAAACCACAGATTCTATCCAGTTAAAAATGTCTGTTGGGGACCCTGGAAACCAAGGGGGGATGGTCGGGTCATGGAAAAGGAGAGTGGGGGAGGAGCTGGCTCCAGATGCTGATGAAGCTCAGAACTGGTGAATGAGTACAGGCTGTCCTTGGAAGGTTTCTAAAGATGACCAGACCAGTTCTTCAAAGACAACAGGCATGGTGGGCAAGCCTGAGCTGGGGCAGGCTCAAGAGAGGGCCCTACAGATGCCTGCCTGCCTGCTTGCTCTGACCCTGTGCAGGTCTGGGTTCATGTCCATGTGCACCATTGGCAGAGGAACTCAGAGGGAGGGGGATCAGGGCAGATGTGAAACTCTGGTCTGGGCTTCATCTCCCCAGAGCTAGTGTTCCGGATCAGCATCCATGCAGGACTCCCAGGGGTTCTGGGGCATCCGAGGCAGCGAGAAGAGCAGGAGGAACAGCCCACCGAGGAAGAGCAGGGTGAATGCGGCGCAGGCACAGGCGAAGGACCATGAATAGTAGTACTCGATCCAGACGGTGTCCTCACTGTCAATCATGCGCTTCACCGATTGCCTCATGACCTCCACGGAGACAATAAGGCAGAGCCCTGGGGACAAAGCCAAGAGTCTCAGTGACTGATGGTATTCCTGCTGCCACCCAAGCCTCCCCCAACCTCTGTTCCCTGCCTTTGACTCGATCCTGAGAGGAAAATGCTTCTAGATGGTTCTAACCGGGAGTCTGCAAAAGTGATCCATGTCTACCACTTCCCACCATGCAGTTCCCACATCCTGCAGGAGGTTAGCCAGAGACTGGCCACATTTCCTTCCGTCTTTTGCTAATTGCTCTCTGGGGAGGTTCCTCAGTGTTCCTCCCAAGGGTAGTGCCTTTGGGGGAAAAGGAACAAAGCAGGTGAAGCCTGAGTACGGAGTGGGGAGCCCTAGGGAATCCCCCTCTTACCCAGGCACTGCAGGGCCCCACTCTACCTGCAAAGGCATAGAACATGGATGCTGGCCTCAGCAGATAATCACGCTTATTCCCAAAGGACAGAAATGCGCAGATGGAGCCCACAATGACGAAGCAGAGGCTGAAGATGGCGATGGCCGCTGCTGAGATGCTGTACTCTGCAAAACGAAGGGGGCCTCAGAACCAGAGCCTTTCCAAGCGTTTTCGTACCATCAGGTGGCTCAGTGAGCTGCCACAGCCTGGATTCCCATTTCACACCTGACTAAGGCTAACTCACTTTCTTACTCACTGCAGGTCGGGTGCTGTGGAAGAGCGGGGCCAGATGCTAACAGGATGGATTCACGTATCTTTCCAGGGCACTAAATTGCAAGGTTCCCTGAGGCAAAGGCCTCAAAAGGAGGCAGGACACCCCGTGGCTAGAGACATTCCTAGAGCCAAAGCCTTCCTGAGTGACAGGTGGAAGGAGGCACTGAGCTGTAGGTGGTCTGTCTTAGATTGACAAGGGGACTCTGGGAGATTGACAACATGTGGGTGTTACCTGGCATGTGAGTGTGAGGATGTGTGTGGGTTGCCTAAGAATCCATCAGAGTGTGTGCCCGTGTCTGCATGTGAGAATCGTGTGTGTGTGTGTGTGTGTGTGTGTGTGTGTGTGTGTGTGTGTGTGTGAGAGAGAGAGGGGGGGGGATATCTGTCGGCATATGTGGATGCACGTGTGTGCCTTGCTCATGAGGCTGTCAGCATGTATATATCCACACGTGAGGATCTGTCTGCGTGTGCATACATGTGTGAGTGTTCCTTTCATTTAGGCTCTCCGTGTGTATGCATTCTCCATGCACAAGGATCTCTTGGTACGTGTATGCATGTGTGATTGTTCCCTTCATTGCACAAGACTCTGTTGGTATGCGCATGCATGCATGCATGGATGCATGCATGAGTGTTCCCTGCAATAAGACTCTCAGTGTGTATGCGTGCCTTGTGTGTGAGGATCTGATGGTGTGTGCATGTGACTACGTGTGAGGATCTGCTAGCATGTGTGGGAGTGTGTCTGTGTCAGCTCTTGTATACTGTGTGGCCGGCCACCTGCTCCCACACACCCCAGACTCTTCCTGCTGCTGAGGTCTCTGAGTTCCACCGATGAAGGGCAGGAATACCATGTTTTCCTCAGCTCAGAGGGCTATTAGTAAGTGCGGGCAGGACTACCACAGTCCCCACAGAAATTCTCACCCACCCACCCTGTGATCCTGCTCCAGCACTGTGAGTACCCGCACCATTTTCTTAGTCCTCTGGGCTCTGCTGGATGGAATGTGTTCCTGCTGCAATTTACAGTCGGCCAGAAAGTCTTAATCCACTGTCCCTTACACCAACAAATGTACTCCGAGTACCTGGACCCAGAACGGATTGTGTGTGCCGGGATGTGACAGGGCACCAGCCTACAGCTGCTTTTCATCCTGAGCAGAAGTCAGCACGTTTCTGCCAAGTGACTCCTAGCTCAGCAGCTGTGACACCGCCAGCCACTTTCCACCGCCCCTGCCACCCAGCCTCACCTTTCTGAGTGGTGAATTCAAAGATCTCTGAGCTCTCTCCTGGGTTGAAGTGTCTGAAGTAGGAGCAGTTCTTGTCTGCAAAGGAGGAGACAGTCTGTGAGCTGGTAGAAAGGGCAGGGGTCTCCCCATAGGGCATGCGGAAGCCTATGACTGCCCAACTTCCCCCACATTCTGAATCTGAGCCAAACATTTCCCTGGCCTTTAGCACGCCATTCCAGCAGACACAGGATGGCAAAGGACATTGGAACAGCATCAGGGAGTAAAGGATGATAGATTCTCGGGGCAGACAGCACACAAGCCCTGAGCCCATTAGGCAGTTGGGATAACTGAGACCCAGACTCACATTCCTGAAGTAGGGGCCATACAGGCTTAGCAAATAACCAGTCAATGATCTTAGCATGTGGATCCCTCTCCTGGGGACCCAGGGCAATGCCTAGAGGCCAGGGGTTGTGCTAAAACCTCTCAGCTCACAAACAAACCTACCACAGCATGAGTTATCCAGTGTGAAATGTTAATAGTGGTAATGGTGAGGGACCTTGGGTTAAATCAGAGGCAGATCCCTATCCTCCATTCACAGTGGGGCCTGGGGAGCAGCATTTTTCAAGAGATTTCCAGGGGCTAGGGAGATGTCTTAGCTGTTAAAGTACTTGCCACACAAGCATGAGGATTCCCAGCAGCCATGTAAAAAGCTGGGTACAGGGATATGAGTTTGTGGTCCCAGTGCTGAGGGACCAATCCCTAGAACTCATTGACCAGCAGCCTAGCCAATTGGTGAGCTCCAGTTCAGTAAGAGACTCTGTCTCAAAAAACAAGGTGGAGAGCAATTGAGGAAGACACCAGATGTCAACCTCTGGCCTCCACGTGCACATATGTACAGGTGTGTGTGAACCCCACCCATGTGGGGGGAGGCGGGGAGGGAGGAGGAGAGAGATGGGGGAATGGAGAGGGGAAGGGAGGGAGGGAGAGAGCTTTCCAGAAGATTCTGGTGCTCGTCCAGGTTGGCAACCTCAGCTCTGCCCCTACAAAGGGCTCTTCGGCATGTCATTTCTTCAGACCCTCAGGACCTGAGTCATGTGGGCCCCAGACAAAACATCTCCTGGCAAGCTCCTTGGCCACTGAGCAATGTCAGGAAAGCCATGTGGACAGTTAGACTAGATGTTATGGGCAGCTGGAGAGGAAGGGACTTAGTGTAAATAGAGCCATGAGGCTCTTAGATACAATTCCACTGGCAGCTTTCTTCTTTAGCTTCCTCCATTAGTCTCTTCCATAACTTGATGTGACGCCAAAGCATAGCTGCGGTCCTTATTGAGTACATTCAATATTCTTTATCCATGAATTACTGAATTAGGAAGTATAAGAATGGGTTATTTTTTATATTATTTCCTATTTGTTTGCTTGTTTTTGAGACAGGGTCTCACATAGCCCAGGCTACCCTTGAATTGGCTGTATATCCAAATATAGCCAATGACACCTGGGACTTCCGATTTGTCTGCCTCTACTTCCCACGTGCTGGGGCTCCAAGTCCTGGCCACCACTTCTGGATTATGTGGTGCTGGGGGTGGAGCCCAGGAGCTTTGTGC